AGGGGAGGGGAGGGGAGGGGCACGTTGTGTGAATGCTGTGTGCTGGGCCTGGGAGCCAGGACCATAGCGACATCCCTGTGTCAGAGAGTCCCCACGTGACGCCACGTGTCAGTCCCGGAGTGACATCATGCATGTCAGATGGTCCCTGAGTGATGTCACGTGTCATAGTCTGAGTGATGTCACACATGTTGATCCGCGAGTGACGTCACGCATGTCAGAGAGTCCCCAAGCAACGTCACGTGTGTCAGTCTCTGAGCAGCGTCACACGTCAGATGGTCCGAGTGATGTCATGCGTGTCAGATCCCAAATGACATTACACATGCCAGATAGTCCCCGAGTGACATGCATGCCATTCCCCTGAGTGATGTCACGTGTGTTAGGTAGTTCCAGAGTGATGGTATGAGTGTCATAGAGTTCCTGAGCGGCATCACGTGTATCATATGTGTGATGTCACACGTGTTAGGTAGTTGCAGAGTGATGACATGCGTGTCATATAGTTCCTGAGTGACGTTACGTGTGTCATGTGTGGTGTCACACATGTTAGGTAGTTCCAGAGTGATGTGTGTCATAGAGTTCCTGAGCGGCGTCACGTGTGCCAGGCAGTCCATTGCATGTTAGGCCTCTGAGTTCTCCCTGTGACTTTCTGTGCACAGCTGCTCAGCTTGCATGCGCAGGAGGGTGACCGGCAGGCAGTGGTGGGGGCAGGCGGCCAGGGCAGCGTGGTGGTCTGGGTCGTGGGGACATGGGGGTGGGCTCAGTGTCCAGAGCTGTTCCCGTGTGTGGGCTCAGTGTCCAGAGCTGTTCCCGTGCGTGGGCCACGCTGGTGGCCGCAGCCCTGGCGGTCTGGAACCCCGCTGGGGACCCGGTGTTTCCCAGGGCCACTGTTTTCTTCTGGTTTCAAGCCAATAAAATGTTAAAATTCACCGTGTGTGGTTTTCTGAGCCCAAATCCTGCCTAAGTAACTCTTCCCTCCTGGCCAGTTCGGTGATGGGTTTTCGTGCGATTTCACAGCTGCACGTGTGTGGACAGTGAGTGGACCCGGTGCATCTTGCTTCCAGAAAGCTCCTGCTGCCCCCTGCAGCTCCTTGCAGGGGAGGGGAGGGGGAAGCCTCCACATCACAGTTCCCAGAAGCGTGCACCTTGTGAGGGTCAGAGAACTCACCAGGACTCTGAATCTCTGCAGAGGGAGTGTGTGTGCATGTGTGCGTGTGTGGATGCATACATGTATATGCATATGTGCACAGTGCACGTGTGTACTGTGTGCATGTGTGCACATTTGCACCTATGTGCATGTGCACCATGTGTGAGTGTGCCTGTGTATGTGTGGTGTCTTGGTTCTGCTCTAGTGGCTAATTAATCAGGAAGGGATTCTGGCGGGGGCAGGCATGCATCTGTGAGCAGTGCTGTGGCGGTCCAGGCGGGAAAGAAGTGTGGCTAAGTCCAGAAGTTCTGTGTGGCTAATTCCAGAAGTTCTCGGGGTGAGTGGGGGCTCTCTGGTTTGCAGAGCTGCCAAGTCCTCTGGTGTAAAAGCCCAGCCATTGTGATTCGGCGTAAAAGCTGCTTTGCAGTCCAATGAGCTTCCACTGTTGGGGGCCATTGTATCTCTGTGGGTCATTAAGGCATCTTGTTGTTTTCCTGAAGGTGCTCACAGGCAGGCGGAATCTTGAATGTGGTAATGACACAAAGCTTGTCCTTAGTGAGGGCATTCGGCTCCCACAGAGGCCAGCTGCAGGTTTCAGCCAGAATCCTTCCTGGGGTAGGGGAGAGTCAGGAGGTCTCCTGGGTGGTGACAATGCCCCTGGGTACAGCAGGCATGGCAGATTTGTGAGTTCCCAATGTCAGTTTTGATGAACAGAAGTTGCTTGTCTTCAGGTTTAAACCATCCTTTTGCTGCTGCTGTTGTGTAGCAATTGTGGTTCTCAGGAAAGAATTAAAACGTTTAGGAATGTCTTAAAGCCCAGATTTAAAAAAACACCCTTTTGTAAGAGCAGTTTCAGGTTCACAGCAAAATGGAGAGGAAGGAGCAGGTTTTTATACATTCCTGTCCCTGTCTCGCAGTCTTCTTCCCGTTAAAGTTCCGACAAAGCCGGGGGAGGTAATCCTGGTCCCGGTCCCTGTCCGGCGGGGACCTCAGGAGGAGGAGGGGCGTGGGAGGAGAGGGCGTGCCCGGCGCTGGTCCTGGCTCGTGGGCCGGGGCTCCTGGCTCCCCTTGTCCACGGTCTCCTCCAATTCCACGCGGGGGCCCCTGGGCGAGCGGGCGGGGCCGTGGGGTCTGGTGGTTTTTGTTTCCTCTCCTGGTGTCTGTGGCTGGCTGAGGCCGGGGTGGGGTGGGGGCGCACAGGCCTGCGGCTCTCTGTTGGGCTCCGGCTTCTCCTGGCTCTGGCTGTGCCGTTCACCCCCGGCCAGGCTCTCTTCCTTCCCTGTGAGCACTGATCTTGGAGCCTGCTTCCCTCAGTTCTGGCTTGGGTGGAGCTGTGAGGCTGTGGGCTGCTCTGGTTCTAAGCCACTCTCATGAAGGAGGACGGAGCCTCTGGCTTGGTTTCCCTGCCACACCCTCTGGGTCCACCAGGTGGCGCTCAGACCTCGGGCATGGCTGTACCCAGGCGGCCGCTTCCTCTGGGGAGGCCTCGCCTCCTTTGAAGGAAGATTGTTGAAGGCATCCCAGCTCCTGGCGATAAGGACAGGGCTGACGCTGGTTTCCAGGACATAGCAGGTCATTTTGCCAGCAGTAACACAGCGTCACCACAGCAATGCACGTTAGGAGCAATAACACAGCGTCACCACCGCAATGCACGTTAGGAGGGATGAAACACGCCTTCGGAGGCAGTGCCCGGCTCTATTACATCCGCAAAGTCATAAAGCCGTGGGATCGGTCGGCGCACTGAGTCTAGGGCCTGGATTTTAAATATCCACCTTTCAAGGAGCACGTCAAAGGCCAGCGAACTTCATTCTTCAGAGGAGGAATTTTCAGTGCTGGGATTTCACCCGCGGTGTATGACGCACAAAACGGTGACGCGGGGATGTGGGCAGGGCTTCCTGGGTCTCTGGGGAGCTGTGTCCGCCCCGGCATCCTTGGCCGGCCGCCCATCCACAGTCTCTCTGTGGGCTTCTGCTCCTAGGATCAGAAACGGTTTTCAGGTTTGTGGATTTGGGACTGTAAGCTGCTTGAAACTACTAGAAATGTCTCTCCCTCTTTGTGTCACAGTAAACAAAGTTAACTTCATCTTCTTATTAACAAAATATAACTAACTTTATAGTTAAGTAACAGAAGGAAAAATTAGCTCCGATAGTCTCATCTTTCACTGGCTTGAAATGGATTAGAATCCGATTTAGGCTCATTTTACCTGTGCAGTCACGGCCATATTTTTAAACAAATGGATTCTATTAGAAAGGTCTATCATGGGGTTTATTAAAGAGCATATTAACAGGCCACATTAAAAATCAAAGCAGAATTCTAGATCAGCTCAACCTTCGGCCCCCACAGCCTCAGGCAGCCCCTGGCTTTGTCTTGATGGCTTTAAGCCCTTCCACCCCCAGCTGCCATCACGCTGATTTGTCTGCTTTCTTTTTACTGAAATAGTCCTCTCCTTGCCCAGTAACACACAGTGCGTGTCAGCAGTACACAGTGTGATGATGATTAGCCCTGGGGGGGGATTCCTCATGGCCCTGGTCTGGAATGAGTGTCGTGGACAGCTGCAGTGGACAGCCTTTCTTCTCGGTGCCTCAGTTTCCTTATGTGCAGGAATGAGTCAGGAGTCCTCACGCTGGGCCTCAGCCATGTGTTTGTGGGGCTGCCCCGCCTCCCCCGTGACCCCTGAGCACCCCTGCATCCGGAGTACCCGCCAGGCTGGGCTTCCACCGCTCAGTGTGTTCTGGGGAACTCTGGCTTCCACGTCGATCGCGTTCCAGGGTCTCCTCCAGTCCCTCTCCCATCCCCTGTTGATGACTGGTAATCTGGTAATAATTTTCCAGCTCTGCCTTTGCTGAGCTGAGTGCTGTTTGGATGTAGCATCGGGAGGTAGCCACATCCTCTTACTGAACAGCGTGGACACCCCCCCTGCCTGTCCCAGGGAGGTGGAGGCTCTGGCCCGAGGCTCGATGACAGCCGGGCCGGCTCCGTCCTCACACTGTGGCTTGATGACAGCCCGAGCTGGCTCAGTCCTCACCCTGCCACTGCCCCGAGGCTCCCCCGCTGCTGCCCCAATGACAGCCTGGGCTGCTCCATCCTCACCCCGCCACTGCCCCGAGGCTCGATGACAGCCGGGCTGGCTCCGTCCTCACCCCGAGGCTCGATGACAGTCCTCACCCCGAGGCTCGATGACAGCCCGGGTGCTCTGTCCTTCCCCCCCCCCCCCACTGCTCTGCTGGTCGAGCCCTCAGGCCTCCGCTCTCCCGGCTTTCTTCCCTGTACACTGGTAAAGCTCATCCTCCAACATCACGGGAAGCTGATCTCTGGGCCCACAGGGCCAGGAGTTGAGAAGCTGCATTTGAAGGCTGCTCCCTGCCAAGCTGTGGCCCTCGGGAACCCGACAGAGACAGCACAGCTTTGTGGAGGAGCCCAGGGCCGGAAGCGGCCCCCAGCTGCTGTGGGGGCCATGTTGGGGTCAGGTCGGTGCAGGCAGCGCCACGGGCCACACTGTGCACCATGGGTTTCAGAATCCAGGAGTGAGGTCAGAGCACCCTCACCCTTCCAGAACCCTCAGAGTGCAGAGCAGCCCGAGGCCTCGGGAAGGCCCCAAACCTGGGGAGGCTGGGCTGGCTGGAGGGCCCCGGAGAGGCCGCCGTGCAGAGCCGAGGAATTGCTTTGGTGTTCTGTGCTGATAGCCACATAGTCTGCAAAT